TGCGTAGTTTGTGCGAACGACAATAGATTAGCGACTCGCGAAGGTAAAGGAAAATTAAGAAAATTAATACGAATACGAATATGGCTACATCTGGAGGGCCAGAGGCGGCAGCGTTCACCCACTTCACCAACCGCGATTTCGATCGAGCTGTGGAGGCGCTCCAGAAGGTCCCCCAGCGGCTGCGCGGCGAGGCTCGCATTCAGCACAATTTGGCTGTGGCCGCCTTCTACCGAGGGGGCTGCGTGGAAATTAAGAGGCTAGTCGATGCGCTGGGGGCACTCGCCACCGCGGCCAACGCCGCAGAGCATCCCCCCGGGCCTGGCGGCGCCGAAGACGCAGCGGGCGGATTGGGTCTTGCCACGCTGAGCTACAACCAAGCCGTTCTGTTTTACCATCTGCGACGCTACTCGGCATCACTAGAGATTTTGGAGGGAGGACTCTACCGCAACGTCGAGGCTCTCGACGAGGACCTCGCCTTGCGCGTATGCCTGCTCCTCGTTGAGGTTCTACTCGGTATGCATACCCCTACACATTCGATTCCCCGTTTTTGTGATCTCGCTACGCGGCTCCTCCTCTACTCCTCTACCACGTAGTGCTACCCCTGTCCTCACCTCCTTCTCCATCCTTCTCTCTTCTCCGCGCGTCGTGTTGCATTTCATTGTCGCGTTTGCCGCTTCTGCTGCGCATGACATGCAACGCAACCACCAGTGCTGGGCCAGGGCGCCAAAGCGGCGTCGGTGCTGCTCTTCGTGGAGAAGACCTTCTGTTCGCCCGCTGCTGCCACTCGATCGGGCGCCTCGACCAGCGACGACTCCACCGCCTCCAACGGCGGCGGCAGCTCATCGTCGTCCTCGACCACTCCACAACGTGCCTCTTCCGCCGCTTCCTCCTCTTCGGCCGATCGGCCGCAGCTGTCGCTCAGCCTCGAGCAGCTGCAGTTCGTGGTGCACCTCTACCGCGCCCGGCTCCAGCTGCTCGCCAAGAGCGCCAACGCCACCAAGAAGGAGCTCAAGCAGGCCGGCGAGGCCCTGCTGCTCATGCAGCAGCAACAGCAGCAAATCGCCAGCAGCACCAGCGGAACCGCCACGGGTCCAGGCACGGGCGGACCCGCCGGCCAGCTGGCGTTCCTCAAGGCGCACCTCGAGTACACGCGACGCAACTATCGCAAATCGCTCAAGCTCCTCAACGCCTCGCAGAAGCGCTTCTCCACCAATGGCGACAGCAGCACAACGTCTTCGCCATCGTCGTCGCCACCATCACCCGACGCGCTGTCGGCGGCCTATTTCAACAACATGGGCTGCATCCACTACCAGACCGCCAAGTACGGCGCGGCGGCGTTCTACCTGGCCAAGGCCGTGCGCGACGACTGGAGCTCGACCACAGAGGGCAGCACGACCGCCCGCACGTCGCGACGATGCGAGATGTACTACAACCAGGGCATCCAGCTGCTCGTCACGGGCAAGCCCGGCGTGGCCTTCCGTTGTCTCCTCCGCGCGGCCGACACGTACCATCACCAGCCGCGACTGTGGCTCCGGCTGGCCCAGTGCACCATCGCCACCCACCTGGCCCACGAACGCGACGCCGCCCTGCGACACCAGAAGTCGGACGCCATCGCGCGCGTCGCCGCCCACGGCGGCGCCAAGCACCGGCAGGTCCTGCTCCCCGTGCACCCGCCACCTTCCTCCTCCGCCGCCCTTC